CATTGGCCTTCTTTATTGCAGTCACACTCTGTCTCGACATTTTCAGTGAGTTATCTACTACAACTCCAAGATCTCTCGCTTGATCAGTCTCTGCCAGTTCAGACCCCATCAACGTGTATTTATATTTAGGATTTTCGGCTCCTGCTTTTCTCCTCAATGCGGATCTGAAGTGGCCGATATTGTTCTCCTCTCCTCCATTTTATCCTCACAACCACCCTGTGAGGTAGGTTAGGCTGAAAGTGGTGTGACTGGCCCAAGGTCACCCAGTCAGCTTCCATGACAGAGTGGGGAATCTGAACCTGGGTCTCCTAGCCCCATGCAGCCCCATGTAGCAACCTCTTTCCTGCACTTGCGCTGCACATAATGGTTTTACGAACTCGCTTGGAGAAAGGGTTCAGGACTGTGGTCTATATTGTTGCATTTAGCTTATTGTTAGTTAAGATCCCATTTATGTGGTTTCTGTACCACTTAATGCGTTATGCGAACACTTGCGCTAAGTTCCTGTTCTTTCTGGTGTTCCCAATCCTAACGCCTTAGTTATTGAATGTCTCACTCTTGTGATGGTACTGGCTCACTATGGCTTATTCTGCACCCATCTTTCTCCTTGCAGTTTTTCCACAGCCACGTGGGGAGGTTAATCTCCCTCTGCACTGCATGCCGCTTTCACTTCCTTTGATCATTGGGTTTTATGGTACCTTCTGCATAGATTTATGGCCGTTCAGGGGTGACTTCGCAGTCAGTGTGGCGTTGCCCCAGAGTACCTGGCTGTGGTTTCGAGTGGCACCTTTTCCTTCCTCCGCTTCCGACTGGAAGGGAACGATAAGCAGACAATTCGACACAGCTTCGGCGATCTCCATCATATATTGTTGCATTTAGCTTATTGTTAGTTAAGATCCCATTTATGTGGTTTCTGTACCACTTAATGCGTTATGCGAACACTTGCGCTAAGTTCCAGTTCTTTCTGGTGGTCCCAGACTTCTACAATCCTAACGCCTTAGTTATTGAATGTCTCACTCTTGTGATGGTACTGGCTCACTATGGCTTATTCTGCACCCATCTTTCTCCTTGCAGTTTTTCCACAGCCACGTGGGGAGGTTAATCTCCCTCTGCACTGCATGCCGCTTTCACTTCCTTTGATCATTGGGTTTTATGGTACCTTCTGCATAGATTTATGGCCGTTCAGGGGTGACTTCGCAGTCAGTGTGGCGTTGCCCCAGAGTACCTGGCTGTGGTTTCGAGTGGCACCTTTTCCTTCCTCCGCTTCCGACTGGAAGGGAACGATAAGCAGACAATTCGACACAGCTTCGGCGATCTCCATCGGTTCCCCCGCCCCTATTTCCCCCTCTGTATTTATGCACCTCACTGAGGCAAGTACTGACACACGAAAATCTGCATACCAGATTGAATGAAAACAGATATTCTGAAGCAAGGGGGAGCCAGGTCAACTGCTGAGAAAATGTGGAGCGGATGCCAGGTGCAGAATGGACCTGTGTGTAATCTTGCCTTGAGCCCCTGTGAGAAAGTCAGACTCTAAATAAATAATAAGACAAGCCCAGAACTTTAACTCATACAGAGATGCAATAGACAGCCTTCTCTAGCAGGTGAATACCCTGGCCTCATAGGAGTCATTCATTGATTTCTTCTTCTTTTTTTAATTAAAATTTTTAATTCTACATCAAAAATACCAAAACCAAGCAGAGTATAAATACCAAACAGTAAACACTTTGCTTTAAAAAATTCTAACTACATTGAAGTCTAAAGCCAAAAGCATTTTTAAAAAATCGTTACTAATAAATATATATCGACTAAAGACTCTTGTTATGAGGATACTGATAAAAGCTATACTGTTGTATACAGTGCAGAGTTTTTAATACTGGGGTATGTTATACTATTTTTATATTCAAAAGCATAACCAAGGCCCCGGTCACACGGGCAGGAAACTACGGGGGAGAAGTGTGGTTGTTTGCCCTGGGGCAAACTACTGCGCAGTTACTCGATCAGACTATATTTAAAGTGTCACTTATCTTATCCATCAGGAATTGTTCCCACACTTTATTTCTCCGGGCCTCTAAACTTGATTCATTGATTTCTCAGAGCACTGGGCTTGGGAAAGACTGCTCGATGACTGGATGGAGCCCACATTCCATCACTTTGACCCTCCCGTGCAAGCAGCCTCCCCGTGACCTGAGAGGTGTCAGGGCAGGGAAGGTGCCCCATGCAGGCGGAAAGCGCCACTGCTTGCCCGGAACAGGCCTGCAAGATCCAGCCCAATGAACTGCCGAGTAGCTAGGTTAAGGGCGCTTTCACACGCACTTTCAATGCACTTTGGAACTGGATTTTACGGAGTGAAATAGCAAAACCCACTTACAAACAGTCGCTGAAGGGGACTGAAACGGCCTTATTTAGCATGTGTGAAAGTGCCCCACGCCTGTTGCAGTGAATGCAGACAGGATGCTTGTCGCAACTTAAAGGCAGCCATGTGGCTGAGAGCGCTCTGAGAGAACTGCTCTTTTCAAGAACAGCTCTGACAGAACTATGGCTTGCCCAAGGTCATCCAGCAGCTGCGAGTGGAGGAGTGGGGAATCAAACCCGGTTCTCCCAGATTAGAGTCCGCGCACTTGACCACTACACCAAACTGGCTCACCAAACTGAAGTGTGGAATTCACTTGGCACGGTTGCGTTATCCCACTGCCAACTGCCAAGCTGGGACAAAGATGTTCTGACGGGGTTTCTCCCCACACAAACTGCTGAATCAATCAAGCGATCTGACTGTATTTTCTAAGGCTATCTCAAGCTTGTCGTTAGGAATGCATGCCGCCATGTGCTCATGAATTCTTGGAAATGAGCGGAAGTCCCACAAGCCTTATGAAGACTAACAGCTTGATAAAGATACCAATTCGAAACAGGCCTGTCATGTAGTGCTAACTTTGACGTCTTCATGCTTCGAGGGGACTTCTCTGTTAAACGGAATGGTTCTTTCTGTCCTTACAGCACGAAGATGGCTCGGTCCCTTTAGGACTGCTTATGTGATTAACATTAATTTGGACTTCGATAAAAAGTTAGGAAGAAAGAAGTAAGCAAAATAATTTTGTTAGTCTCACCTCTACCTTTATTGTATATGCTAAAGCGAATTCTACACCAAGATCAACCATGCTAGAGACTGTTTGCTGTCTAACTAGATTCTCTTACGTTATTAACAATTCTCACATTTTACCTTTTGCAGAACTATCTGATTCAACTATCTTAAATCACTGTCACCAAGATCCTTGTTACTCTATATTTTAGGTTGTTCCCTTCCCCTTCCCCTGTAGAGTTGTAGTTTTAGAAAACCAATAAAAAATGTTTAAAAAAAGACTGTTTATGTACCGCTTGTAACTGTAGTTGTATTTCTTTCAACGTAATTATGCGCTTTCTACTTTATTTGCACTTTGCACGATAGCTTATCTTATAATACTATAAATATTTCTGCAAAAAAACCCCAGGTTTTGTTTACACATTTTTCAAGGTTGCTTTTGTATGTCTGGTCAGTCTTATTATTGGCAAACTTCTCCTTGCTTGTTTGCATTTTGACACATATGTTTCTGTCACAGGGAATCTGGTAGTCTTTAACACACACACACACACACCACCCCCCACCGCCTTTGGCTTTTGAACTAAAAGCAGCCAAACCACCACAGGTTCTACCGGCGCTCAGGTTCCTCTGCTGAGGAGGCTGTGTTGTCGGACTTCACCCACAGAAAGAGGAGATCCACACAATGGAAACAAAGGAGAGAAAGGTCTTTTTAATGAACTTACAAGGTTGTGAACAAAAGTCCTCGGGATATCTTTTTTTTAAAAAGCGACGGCACACAGGAATGACAGGTGGCCACGTAAACGATGCCACGAAGAGTCCAAAAACCAAGGGTGCTTTTCAGTTGCTGGGTGGTGGCGGAGGGATGTTTCCAGGCCCGTCTGTGGGGAGAGGGGGTCTCAGCATCGGGGGCATTGGGGCAGGAGGGGGGACGCCGGGAGCTGGTGGGAGCTGAGGTGGCCCCGGGGGTAGAGGCACGACCGGCGGGGATGGTCTGGGGAGTGGGGGGCTTCTCCATCTTGAAGTGGAACTGGAGGAAGAACTAGAGGAGCCGGGGAAAGGAGAAAAAAAACTTGGGGTCAGCAGGGAGAGCCGGTTGGTTAATTTTGTTCCAAACTTTCAGCCCCCACCCCACCCCCCACCCCGGCAATCTCAGCGAAGGTTTCGGAGACGGCTTTCAACAGTCAGGTAAAATCCAGTTTAAAAGGCAAGTGTGACAAAGACAATACAACAAAAGCGTTCTAAGATCCAAAAGCACAAACACCAATCCGTGAAAAACAGCCTGGAATGCTTCCGGATCGCTTCCAGAGGAGATTGGCTACATATACGGAGCAGAGCTTAGATCCACTGGTGGCTCTTAGCCACAAGGCCATAGATAGGAACTCTCCGTCTGGGGGCAAGGGATGCTCTGTATTCTTGGTGCTTGGGGGGGGGGGCAACACATCTAAAAACTGTAATGCGTGGAAGGGACGTCATGTGAACGGCTTTGAAGGCACCTGGGCTTTGGCCACTGAGTGACACAAGAGTGTTGGACTGGATGGGCCACTGGCCTGATCCAACATGGCTTCCCTTATGTTCTTATGTCTGGGGCAGTGATGCTCTGTCTTCTTGGGTGCTTGGAGGGCCACGGTGGGAGGTCTTCTGGAGTTCTGGCCCTGCTGATGGACCTCCTGGTGGCCCCTGGGTTTTGGCCACTGTGTGACACAAGAGTGTTAAACTGGGTGGGCTATTGGCCTGACCCGACATGGCTTCTCTTATGCTACCAGCCATGGTGGATATATACTGTACAGGAGAACACGAAAGGACCGGGGAGGGGGACAGGGAGACATGGCTCAATAAAAATGCGGGGGGGGGACAGAGGCGTTTGCACCTGGCACATAAATTCCTGCTAGGCTGGTACCAGGCACTTCCGCGACTGCTACAATTAACAACTGCCTTTCTTAGACACATTCACTGAGGCTAGAGTGTCACACAAATCCTTCCATAGGAACCGACGGCTCCCTGGCTCAGTTCGGGGCCCGGCGTGTACAAGGCTGGTCTGATTCGCAGTGCTTCGGAACACCTGCCCTTCAAAGGCAAGCTGTGGCATGGCATCCTGATTTTTAATGCCCTCTGAAAATAAAGATGCCCCCGTTGGGAACCCTGGCCAGTCAGGGCAGGGGTCATTTCCTGACGGAGCGCCCCGGAGCAGCGTTCTGGCAGTAAGGAGCCCAGGCCCCACCCCCGCCCCTGAAGAGACTCGGGGGGGGGGATTTAAACGCTTGGGTTCCCTGCCCGACTTTCTCCAGGTGCCCAACAGTCGTGGGGCACCTGGAGAAGCTCGGACAGGGAACACAGACATGCCTGCCTTTCCCCCTGAGCCTCTCCGCTTTTGCGGAGAGACTCAGGGGAGGGGGGAGGGATTTAAACTCATTTGCATATGCCTTAACTCATTTTAAACATGCCTGCCCTTTGTCAGGGGGTGTGGCATATGCAAATGAGTTATGCAAATGAGCTCCTGCACCTCTTTTTCCCTAGGAAATGGCTCCTGAGTCAGAGGCTCTTCCTTTAGGTCTGCCAAAGTAGCCTAAGACTAACTCGGTCTTGTTCTTCTTTTAAAATCAGTGGTTTTGTAAGGGCATGTTAATGCTTAACGTCGTTTTGGTTGAGTCACCAGGTACAGGATATTTGGACGACAAGTTACAACAATGTAATTTTTACCACTCTGTTTTTTATTTATTAGTTAAATCATTTATAGCACGCCTTTCCTCTTGGCTCAAGACAGTTCAGTTTGACAGATTCTGCCTCGACAAAGATAAAGCCTCCAGTTGCAGGGCACTCTACCAGTGAACGCCAGACCGCTGGGGGCAAAAAACGCCACCTCGTGCCCTGCTCCTGACCTCCTGGGGGAACTGATCGGCTGCTGCCATAGGCAAAAGCAGACAGGTTTCAAAGCCATTCAACGAGGATTACCTGTTTCGTTTCTCGGTTCCAGTGAGTCCAGAACTTGCTGTCTGCTTTATCGATCTCTCTGCTGGGTACCTGGGGAGAAAGGAGTGGTTATTTTTCCTCCCCTTTTTAATTTTATTTTTTTACTGATTCAAATTATATTCTATAGATATGTTAAAAGAAACAACAGACTATGACAACAACAAGAAGAACAGCTGAGGCTGCGGAAGATGCACCAGAGAAAAACGGGAAGAAGTTGCCCACTCGCCGGATAAACGAACGATCGGAGCCGGGAGGGTACCTGGTAGGGCTCCCCCCACCCCAGACGTACTGTGGCCGTAGTTAGGGTTTCTGCATAGGTCTCTGCACCATGCACCATGTAAGCCGCTCAGAGCCCTTCGGGGGTGAGCGGGGTACAAATTGAAAGTATAAATAAATAAATAAAAGAACAGAAGCAAGAAGAAGTGTTACCTGAAGAAGTGAGCAGTGACTGGTCTAGAGGGGGCTGGGCTAGATGGATGCGCAGCCACACCTAATAACCGTCATTCATTCATTCAGCATTGTATTTATTCAACCAACCCATGAACAGTGTTCCCTTTAACCTGAGCTAGTGTGAGCTAGCTGACAGTTTTCTAGCCTCCGGCTCACACATTTTTGTCTCCGCTCAGGAAGGATGTCTCCAGAGCAAACTAATTTATGCAGGAGTGTTACCTGAAGAAGTGAGCAGTGACTGGGCTAGAGGGGGCTGGGCTAGATGGACGCGCAACCACACCTCATAACCGTCATTCATTCTCATTCATTCATTCATTCATTCATTCAGCATTGTATTTATTCAACCAACCCATGAACAGTGTTCCCTTTAACCTGAGCTAGTGTGAGCTAGCTGACAGTTTTCTAGCCTCCGGCTCACACATTTTTGTCTCCGCTCGGGAAGGATGTCTCCAGAGCAAACTAATTTATGCAGGAGCCAAATCACTCACTCACAGCTTTAATGCCAGGAGCTCACAAAGTAGAAGTTTTGCTCACAAGACTCTACAGCTTAGAGGGAGCATTGCCCATGATCCAAAATACATCTCCCCCATCCATGTACACCCCAGTCAAATTTCAAAGTCAAACGTAGAAGAAATCGGAAATCCAGTTTGGGGGAAAGGGGGGCGATTTAACATTTAGCACTGAAAAGAAAACACACTGGATTACTTAAAAACAATAATGATTCCTCCATCGGCGCGTGCCAGCCTTTGGCGCCTCCCCAAGCTGTTTCCAAACTCTGCCCAATCGCTGGCTCCCCTTTCTGTGATACCCTGCCCCCCCCCCCGAATCACCTTGAAAGCGATGGTCTCGTAGGGCTCTGCCGCCATCAGGAGGTACTGCCAGCGCCGGTCCGGAGGCTCGATCCTCTGCTCATACGCCGACATGAAGCGATGCCTGGGCATGATGCTCTCGGCAATCTCTGGGTAGTCGATCTGCAGAGGGGGAAGGCGGGGTGGGGGCAGATCCTTTATTAATGACATTATTTAGATATTTATATCCCGCTTTCCCTCCCCAATGGGAACCAAAGCGGCTTGGTGTAGTGGTTAAGTGCGCGGACTCTAATCTGGGAGAACCGGGTTTCATCCCCCACTCCTCCACATGCAGCCGCTGGTGTGACCTTGGGTCAGTCACAAGTTCTCTCAGAGCTGTTCGCTCAAGGGCAGTCCTCGAAAGAGCTCTCTCAGCCCCGCCTACCTCACAGGGTGTCTGTTGTGGAGGAGGGGAAAGGAGATTGTAAGCCGCTGTGAGACTCCTTTGGGTAGTGAAGGGTGGGTATAAATCCAATCTCCTCTTCTCCTTCGACAACATGAACCCCCCCCCATTCAATTTTATCTTCACAACCACCACCACCCTGTGAGGTAGGTTAGGCTGAGAGTGTGTGACCCAATGAGCGTTCATGGCAGAATGGGGATCTGAATCTGGCCTTCCCAGAATCCAATATTCTCAGCAGCTAATAGAGACCCCCCCCCATGAGCACCCATTTCAACCCATGAGCTGATCACCGTAATGAAGTTCCCCTCTTGATTCCAAACATGGGGCTTACTCTCTCTGCTGCCCCCATCAGGTCACCAGACAGACTTCGATGCGCCCAATCTGCGGTCAAAGAAGATGGACGCCCAGTGGCACCTGTATGCAGTGGTTTAAATGGCTCCCAACCATTTAAACCAAAGAGCTAAATGGCTCCAAACCATTTAAACTGAACAGCCAAGCAGGGATGGTGCATACAGTTGGAACAGTCATATGCTGCATACAAAGGCAAGGGAGCTTCATGTGTTCACTCTACCATCGAGCCTCAGCTCGAACATACACAAAGCTGCCTGATACTGAATGAGAGCATTGGCCCATCAAAGTCAGTATTGTCTGCTCAGACTGGCAGCAGCTCTCCAGGGTCTCAGGTAGAGGTCTTTCCCATCACCTCCTGCCTGGTCCTTTTTAACTGGAGATGCCGGAGATTGAACCTGGGACCTTCTGCATGCCAAGCAGATGCTCTACCACTGAGCCACAGCCCCTCTTTACAGCTCTCTAGGGTCTCAGGCACAGGTCTTTCCCATCACCTCCTGCCTGGTCCTTTTTAACTGGAGATGCCGGAGATTGAACCTGGGACCTTCTGCATGCCAAGCAGATGCTCTACCACTGAGCCACAGCCCCTCTTTACAGCTCTCCAGGGTCTCAGGCACAGGTCTTTCCCCTCACCTATTACCTGGTCCTTTCAACTGGAGTCGCCGGGGATTGAACCTGGGACCTTCCGCATGCCAAGAGGAGGCTCTTTCACTGAGCCACGGCCCCTCCCCATCCCCACAGCTGCACAGAGGAGTCAACCACCCAGTCCCTTGCCCGGGGAGAGACTGCTGCAAATGTTACTATACAGTAGTTTTTATTTATTTTTCAGATTTCTATTCCGCCCTCCCCACAAGTGGGCTCAGGGCAGATCGCAAGGCAGCACAATATAAATACATTATAATCAGATTTAAAACAGTTAGGAACAATAATTAAAAAAAACCCACAACTGCACTATTTATTGGTTTGCCCACAATCTCCAAAGCTGGTGCCATTGGGTCTCTGAGGTCTACTTCAACTGGGCCACACACGGATGGTGGTCTTCAGCAGGGGAGGCCAAATTTTCCCACTGGACGTCCGCCGCCTCAACCAAAGGCCTGGTGGAACAGCTCCATTTTACAGGCCCTGCGGAACAGTAGTACGTCCCACAGGGCCCTGACATGTTCCACCAGGCTGGGGCTGGGACCGAAATACCCCTGGGCCCTGGTCAAGGCTAAGCAGATGTCCCTTGGGCCGGGGACAAGAAGAAGAAGAAGAAGAGAAGAGATTGGATTTATACCCTGCCCTTCACTACCCAAGGGAGTCCCAGAGAGGCTTACAATCTCCTCCCCCTTCCCCTCCCCACGACAGACACCCTGTGAGCAGTGTTCCCTCTAAGGTGAGTTAGTGTGAGCTCGCTCACAGTTTTTTAGCTTCCAGCTCACACATTTTTTGCCTTAACTCACGAAGGAGGGCTCCAGAGCCAACTAAGTGATGCGGCGGCCAAGTTGCTGGCTCACAACTTTAGTGCCAGTAGCTCACAAAGCAGAATTTTCGCTCACAGGACTCCACAGCTTAGAGGGAACATTGCCTGTGAGGTAGGCGGGGCTGAGAGAGCTCTGACAGAAACGGCTCTTTTTAAAAGAACAGCTCAGACAGAACTACGGCTTGCCCAAGGTCATCCAGCG